GCGATACACGTGTGAATGGGGAGGAGAGAAAAATAGGTTTCTATAATTTGTGCATTTATGTTTAGAAATACAAAATCCTTGTAATCGGGCTTTGTTATTAGCTGAAATTTATGGTTGAGCTACATATGATAATATTGGGTTGGTATAGGTAAAAATATGTGAGAACTATAATAGGTAATTATTAAGTAACTTTCCCACCTCTAATTTAGAAATAAAGTCCAATAAATAAAGTATTGTATTGTATAAAACAATTATTAATAAATTCAGTTTCAATTTTGTTGAATAATTAATTATCTTTGTTTTTAAATTATAATTACAAAAAAATATTTTTTGACGATAAATGAAGAATTGTAATTAATCCCGATAAAATATTTTTATAAAAAATAATGATAAAATATAATACGTAGTTCAGCATTCATGCAACATCGTATGTGTTGATTTAAATTTCAATAAAAAAATATTCATATGAAAAAAAAGAATTATCTAAAATATTCACATAATTAAATAATTAGGAATCGTAAAAGGTACTATAAATAAATGAACAGAAAATATGTTTAAATCAATATTTTGTATTAATTAAAATTAATATAATATAATAAGAATATCTAAAATATTCATATAATAATAATAAAATGTTGAAACCAACATGTTCAATTTTATAAAATTAGGTTACGTTGTCATTTATCACTTTTTCTTTAATTCATTTTTTTGTACTTAAAAATAAAACTTTCGAGTTCTACGTGCATCGCACGTGTTTCTTACTAGTTATATATAAAAATGAGGGAGAAATTTTATTATCTTGTCCTTCCATTTTAAATTTTTTCTTACTTGTGTAACAATATTTTCATTCAACTTTCTCTCTCGTGCTCAAATACAAAGAAAACAAAAAACAAAAAACAAAAAAACAAAAAAGCAAGCTCTCTCTCTCCTTTTTTGTCTGTCTACTCAATTATTTTTTCTTCAAACAATTAAAATAATTAAAATTTTATATACATATAAATTATAAATTTTATGGTGCTTACTGCTTTGTATTATATTTTTATTTGGGTTGAATTTGAAGGATGTTAATTTTGTAAAATTTAAAACTTTCTACTACTTTCAACCTACAACCTACGTATTTATTTTATGGTATTTATATGAATATTTTTTTATCTAGTAAAATAAGATTATAAATTAAGACGTGTATATATATATATATATATATATATAAAATTATTTTCATATATATTAGAGTATTACAATTTTTTTGTTTACTAAAGAAATTATAACTCAGGACCCTATTCAAACTTTGCTTAAACATGGTTTTATTTTTACATATATTGGTATTAATTATTAACTTCGATTCATGGGTATTTCTACATTTGATTGTATTAAAAAATAATAATAAGAATATAGTTCGGTGAACTAAGCATCAATTATCTTATTTTAAACTTTGATAAAAAAGAAAGGAATATGATAATTGATGTGAATTACTATTGGGCTAAGCTTATATTGTTAAATTATATTTATTTAAAAATTCATATTTACCGTTAAAAATTCATATATATTGATAAAGTCGTATATTTAAAATAAAAAAAATAAAAAAAACCAACAACAATAACATGAATGTTCTCTATTGAATGGCATTTTAACTATATATTTTTCTCAGAATCTATGCCGAGTGATATAATAACAATTACTAATAAAAACTTTGAGCTAATATTATTACTCTCCTTCATAGGCCAAGTGTTCAAACCTGCACTTCTATGCTACCAATGTTATCCTCTTAAAAAATGTTAAATAACAGACTTAGTTCATATATATTTGAATTTAATAAATCTGGAACTTTTAGACAATCTTAATTTAAAAAAATAAAAAATAAATACAAAACAGGTAAAAATTTATGGGCCACAAAATTTAAAAGGTAGGGACCTATTAAATAGATTCAAATTTAATAATTTTATAGATATAAAATTGAAAGTTTAGACCTCACCGCGATTCAATGGGTAAATATATAATTAAAAATAATAATTTTACCTTCATCCTTCACTAACAAATTTTAATTTTAACAAAGGAAGATAAACTCTATAAAATCAATACATAATCAATATATTTTGGAACAACAATACATAATCAATATATTTTGAAACAATCTTAGAAAACAGTATATATATATATATATATATTTTTTTTATTTTAATTATAAATAAAATATGTAACATAGTTGAATGGATTAAGTCACCTGTTCGAATCTAAAGGTCGTCGAATTCCACCCCATATTTTCTATATATTTTTTCAATAATGTTAATTTTAAAACTTGTTTGATTCGCATCAATTCCACACCACATATTCTAGATTTTTTTAATAATATTAATTTTAAATCTTATTCCAAATATATACTACTTTCGAAATTATTTAAAAGGATAATGCTTGGAAAATAACAAGTCGTCTCAAGTGGCATTTTCTTTTTCTAAATCAATCGTGTCTTCTAGACGACAAATCGAGTTTTGAATTGCGTGACTTTATTTTTTATTTTTTTAAATACATAACATGCTATGTATCAATACTAAATTAGATAATAATATTCGTGCTACATATTAAAAAAAAGTGTGTTGCGTGCCAGTAATTCAAAACTACAGTTTTTATTTAAAAACAAAATTAACATGTAAGTGCCACGTTAGCAGGTCAAACAACCTTGTAATACCACTCCATAGGCCAGAGACCTCTTATCTTTCCGGCATTATTATTTGAAATAGTTTCGAAAGTTATTTGGAATAAGTTTTAAATTATTAGAAAAAAAAATTTCACATCTTCTAAGTTCTAATCGGAAGGGAAAAAAAAGGGGAAAAAAAAGGCGCGTGCGCCCACAGCCTCATCCGTATATAATAAGACCAATGTTTTGAAAACCAACAGCATCGAAGAAAATGGAGGGAAAGCGAGCAAGCTCGGAGAGAAGCGACATTCTAAGAAGAATCAGAGGTTCCAATTCCATTCAATTTTCTCATTATCATATTGGTTCCAAACAATTACTGATTCGATTGTTGCTATTTTCCTTCCGCTTTTTAATTTCAACGTTTTTCAGAGATAACAAGATCTATGATCGTCGAGCTGAGCAACGGAAGCTCCAAGATGATGGCAATCGATCGGTTTAAAAATTACTGCACTAATTCTCTTGAAAACTGGTTCGGATCTTGTTTCGTTTGGTCGCAGTTTTGGTTTCTACTGAACCTGCAAATTAGCTACCAAATAAAGATCATAATCTATTACGATTCTATGTGATTTACTCGACTAGGAATGTTCATTTCCCAATCTGTATTCATTTTTGAATCATTTAGGATTCGTTATTTACTGCTGAGTTTCTTGGATCTTCCCGGAGGCCAGAACAGTTATCGTTTGTAAAATCCAGCCAAAAAAAAAAAAACCTAGTAGCAGTTCGGACGAGATTTTATCACTCGAAATTGAGGCACAAAGTTGCATAGTTCAAATCAGCATTTAACATTTACCACCTAGTTTTCAGTTTCGTGAAACACATTATGAGTTTTTAAGAATAATGTTTCTACTTGTCAATACAATGTATTTCTGGAACGTGAAGAGGTAGATCTTGAATTTGGACTTTAAATGCAGCTGTTGCAAGTTCAATTTATCCGAAGGGAAGGAGATTCTAACACTTCAAAAGGAAAGCCATGTCCGTAGACTAGGTGATTCAGTTATGTCAATGAATGATATTATAATCTGTATAAAGTACACCTGTGTCTTATTTGATCTTATTTTGCTCTATCAGATGTCTTGCTTAGAGTTCTACTCATTGTTCGGCAGCTTCTGCGAGAAAATAGACATAGCTCGAAGAGAGATATATATTATATGCATCCCTCTGTGTTTTCAGGTAAAGCTAACCCATCATTTTATCAGCAGAAACCAGTAGTTTTGTTCCAAGATACAATATCTTTCACAAAATAATAAGCACTCAAGTTCGGAAGGATCGGAATTCAACATATCCTTTAAATTAAAGTTTTCAGTAAGTTCGTGGCAGGAGATTTTCTCAACAATGCTTTGTATAGCATGCCAGATTTTATTGACATTGGCTTCTTCAAATAATATTTGCAGATCAGTCAGTTGTTGATCGGGCAATCAACGACATCTGCATTCTTTTGCAATGTAGTCGGCACAATCTAAATGTGGTTGGTGCCGCACTTCATTTTACTGTTTATTCAATTTGTGCTTTTTTTTTTCTTTTTTTCAATGATTATATAATGTGATTTATGGGGGATCTAATTTCTGTATGGTACTACTAACGGTTGGCTGCATATCTTAAATTGGCCGCATATTTTAGCTTTAATAAATAAACTTACAGTTGGTTTTTTGCTTTCAAACATCACTAACAGTTCAATTACAGTTTTCTTTAAGTTCCGTAGTTTGTGTCGCAAGCTTCTTCTGATAATAAAGTGTGTGATGATCATTTCAACTTGTGTCCTCTTGACAGGTTTCTTTTGGAAATGGGTACGTATTGAAGATATAATATGCTCAGTTCAGATAAGAAGAAAATAGTGACGAATGCTGTTTGTTTTCTTGACATGAGCTTTTACAAGCAGTCTGTATCACATAATTCTTTGTTATGTGGGTTGATACCTACCCATGTCAGGATTTTCTAAACCATTAGATTCTGTTAAAGAAAAACTTGTTGTTTTTGCTGCGCTCTGTTCCATTGAGGAAGAAAATTAAGAACTGAATCTTGACTTAGACACTTCTTTATAGGTTAGTGATGGGTTGGTTGAGGTTCTCAGAAGCTGGTAGGAGATTTGATTGCATAAAGAAGCCTAACAGTGTAAGCATTATACTTGAACTTGATTGTTCTTCATGATGCAATTGCTTCTTTTTTTAACTCTTAGCTGTACGTAATTTGGATATATGCATCTCAATCACTGCCAGGCCCACTCCATTCCTGTTCAAGTTGAGGAAGTCACAGGTATGCAGATACTGATTGATAAATCGCCAATCCACTGCGTTAGAACTTAAAATAGAAACTTTCTGAATGATATCTTTGGATATGGATTTCTATGCTGTATTCTGCCAAAGTTCGACATAAAATTACATGGTTTTTATCGTATTCCTCATAATCTTCAAAACTTTTGGCCTGAGATTCTGCTTTAGCTTGTTATTATTTTATTCTCATCTGCAGACATTGTTAGTGCTGCGGAATACATACTCATCGTTGAGAAGGAATCAGGTGAAGGTTATAGTGATAGAAGCTAGTTTTGCGGTTTAAATAAACTCAATTTTAAGTTTGACCTCGATCAGTCAATATATATGGTTTGATGTTTTCAATGTGCAGTTTTCCAGCGTTTAGCAAATGACCAGTTCTGCAGCAGAAACCGCTGCATTGTAATCACGGTGAGTATGTCTCTGGTCCTGCAACTTTGAAATTAGTTCAACAATAGGGTGGGGATTTGAACCTCCAAAATTTTGTTCATCAATGCATGCTTTAACTAGTCGAGTTACACTCGGTTAACTTGAAAATTCTCATATGTAAATGTTAGTTTTCATTTTCATTTTCAGGGACGTGGATATCCAGATGTTCCCACCAGAAGGTAAAGCAAAATATGTTCATACACACACATTTTTGGATGCTAATCTCATTTTACTGTTGGTGATGATTATATTATATGAATCATGGGAATATGCATGTATTAGTCAGGTTTTTGCGGCTTCTCGTTGATGTTTCGGCATTGCCTGCATTTTGCTTGGTAGATTGTGATCCATATGGTTTCGAAATTCTAACAACATATCGATTTGGTTCCATGGTTAGGCTCCTAAAACAATCATCTAAATCATTTATCTACTCAATTATGTTAAGAGAGCAGTGAACTAATCGACTATGTGGAACAATGAGACATTGAGAAGCATTTTTTTTTTTTCAGTTAAGGCTAAACTAACTTCCAGTTAGTGATTTTGACCCGTTTCCTTTTCACTAGCAAATGGCGTACGATGCAAAGTATCTCAGAATTCCACATCTACGCTGGCTTGGTGCTTTTGCTTCAGACTCTGAGAATTACAATCTTCCAGAACAATGTCTCATCCCATTGACTATGGAGGGTGAGGAATAATATATTCTAATACTCTCTATCTTTGCGGTTTCAAATGAAATTTTTCTGACCTTTTCTGAGGGTCTTGCTTATCCTGTCAGATAAGAGAAGAACCGAAGCCTTGTTACTCAGATGCTACTTGCAGAGAGAGGTACCACATTGGAGGTAAGCTTCTGTTAAGAACTCTAATTTTCTGTTGTCCTTGTCTTCATGCATATTGCCATTTTCTACAAAGAGGATTTGATCCCTTAGGTTGGAATTGGACTCAATGCTGCAAAAGGGTGTGAAATTTGAGATAGAAGCCCTCTCTGTGCACAATCTTTCCTTTTTGTCAGAAGAGTATTTACCATCCAAAATAGGATGTGTTCATCTTAGAACTGGTAAATTCTAGGTGATTGTTAAACGTATACAAGCTATAAACATTAGAAGTTTTTCCCAGTGTGGTTGTTAATATCCACATCATGGATCTCCCAAATCCGAAGTTAGGTGTTGAAGTTTGATAAAACTGAAATGGAGGATCTTCTGATGTACACTGTTAAGGGTATAATAAATCCCCTGAAATTGAATTTTTCTAGCAAAATTTTAGGTGAATCTTAATTATTAACTTTTTAGTTGAGGAAAATTTTGTGGAGTATAGATGAAACTTGGAGGTAGAGATTCCAACGTCTAACATTTAGGACGTGTTTTAATAAGTTGAGTTATGACGTGTTTTAATAAGTTGAGTTATGCGAAGGGGTTAGTGTCCGATTTTGGTTGGGTTGTTTTTTTTTTCCTTCAAATATTATTATTATTTTAAATTTCAATTTGCACTCTAGTACATAAATTTTTTTTATACTATTAACACTTCATCAAAATTGATGTAATAGTCCTTGAATAGGATGGTAAATTAAATGGTGATGATGAACCAAAATTCAACTGGTTAAGGTAGATATTTTCAATTGAAAGATCATGTGTTTGAACCATCACCACATGTTATTATACGGAAGAAAAAGTTAAGGAATGTCATAATCATACGGAAGATAATGTCATACGGAAGAAAAAGTTACGTGGCTAGTTACAAACTAAGGAATTAGAGGTTCAAATCCCGAACTCAAATTTATAAATTGTTCACTATGTTAACAAATTATTGGAACCAGTTAATAAACTATTGGTATCATCGTTAAGTAGCTGAAAAGTGACTGGAATAGATTAATGAATTATTTGTATTTCATAAGTTGAATATCGTGTATCTTCTAGTTTTTTTTTCTTGAGAAAAGAATGTCATATATCTTTTTTTTACGGTGAATATCATGTATCTTATTGATGATTAAATTGGACATGATGTTATATAAAAGCCAATAACTTGCTGACATCATAAATCAATATTTTTTTCTTATAATATTTATTTTGTTCTTAAAATAAATTGAAATCCTTGGAATACATAAAATAATTGGAGTGATTGAAGTGAATAAATCTTATAAATAAGGAAACAACGATGTGGTAAGATTCTAATAAATATGTAATATAATTAGATTATTTTTATTTTTTTGTAGATTGTAATATTTTAGTTTGGGTAAGATAAAGTAAATTGTAAAATTTAATATCTTAAGTCATATTTTAAAATTATTTTATTAAAAAACATATTATTTATAAATTGTTCAAACTTTGAAATGATTTGATGTAACTAACTATGAATTCAACAAGCTTCGGCTTGGATAATCATTTTATTTTTGAATTTTCTATTTTTGAAAATTAAGCTGGTTAACCTTACTTTCATCCCTATATTTCTTTGTTTTGCTACCAACTTTTTCAAAATATTTTCAAAATTTAAGTCAAATTTAAAAAATTAATTTTTTTTTGTATTTGGTTAAAAATATAAATGTATTTCTAAAAGGTGTGAAAAAATACCAAAGAAATTGTGTGCAAGAAAACATAACTTTCAAATACATAAAAACCAAAAACAAAACAGTCGTCAAGACCTAAATGTTTGAGAGATTAAAAAAGCTTCTTAACCATGTATTTTAAACGAAAGATATTTAATATGGTAATCTCAATGTTGATCCCACTCTTATAATTATTAGATGTACAGGATTAAAAATCATTTTTCATTTTTTTCACTCTATGTATCTAAATATAGCAGCCATATTCTATTTCTGATAATTAAATTAACTAGCTTTCTCATTTATAGTCCCAAGAATAGCAGCCACATTTTGACAATCATTTTCAATAATTTCTCACCTTAACAGGAAAGTAGTTTTTAATAAGAATATCTGGTCATACATTTAATATAATTAATTATAAGGATACAATATGGTTGTGATGTGGGTCAAGGGTTCAATATTTAGGTGACACCAATCAGGTTGTTGAACTGAAAGCAAAATGACCAAGAACTAGCTAGAAACCACAAATTGAATTATGTGAGAAATATTGAAATATTTTCTTTCCCCCAAGAATGGGGTTTTCACTTCTTTATCACTTAATTAGATTAGATTGATGTTGCTTTAAATTGTGATATGCTTAGCTTTCTAATTTCTCTTATACAAAGAGAACCATTAGTAGAGATCAAGTTGTGTCCATTACTTTGAATATATGATGTTAACAGCCATGCACTAGGAACTAAGCATTGAATTGTTTGTCTCTAATTATTTTCACTATGTTTTGCTGTTTAAATCAATAGAATTTTAGTTCCATACTTTCTGAAATTTGAATCTATCACCAAAAATTCTAAAATATATTGCATATCTATGTGTGTTTTCTATTTTGACTTTCTTTGTTCATATGTTTATTGTAGTATTTATTAATAGACTTTAAATGGCTAGAATGAGTAACATAGTACTTTTAGACAAAATAATTCGATTATTACTATATTACTCAAGTGAAAATTCTTGTGGATAAGTTTGCGACGAGATATGACATGTGAAGTTGAGGAGTTTATTAGATGATTTATATTGTCAAATAAGATTTTTTTTTTTTTTGAATTGATAAGGTTGCCACATTATAAGTTAAGAGGCATGACTTAGAAGGATCTTACTGTTGAAGAGAACATTTTACCTGTATATGTTTTAATGGTGATGCCAAACAACCAAACAAGTGATGGAGAGAAGTGCCCATACAATGTTCTCCCATTACTTGCATAAGTAAGCCAAAGGAGTAGTTTAAGTAGTATGTTGGACAACTTTGAAAAGGTCTTGTGGAATTTGCAATTTGAGGATTCTTTGTAGATGAGGTTGGTTTTCCTTGGATAAGTGTCACCTATTTAACAATTGTGTCAGTGATTATTATTATTAAAGGGGTTAACAACTAACTTGCATATCTCTAGAACTTAGGAGAAATCTTTAGATCATCCCTGATTATTTCCATTTCTTCTGCTGTTAGGGAAGGAAGTGATCTATGGTGTATAGAGAATAATTATCTTCATTGGTATAAGATTTTTTGGGTGAAACAAAAACAAAGTCACGAGAGTTATACCTAAAATGGACAATATCATTCCACTGAGGAGATACTTGGAGACTATCGTTGTAAAAAAAAATAGTTATGTGAGAGAAATCTTCAAAGGACAAATAAGGGTGATTGGTGAACTTTATAGTCATTATAGAGTCGTGGATGAATCTCTAGATTGGACGAAAATTGCTTAAGGTAGCGAGCATGACATGCTCTATTCTCAGGTGGTGAGCAAGACATGCCCTATCATGTCGGGGTAGATTGATAGGAAGCCTATTATAGCCAGGTGGACTGATAGGAAGAATGATGTAGCTTTGTGCAAGGAGAGGAGATTGATGGTGCGATATGGTCTAGTCGTTGACATTAAGTGTTCCCACAAGTGTTCCATGGTAGCAGGTGCTCTATTAATTGGGGTTGATGTTAACTGCAGTGTGGACCAGGCTCTTGTTGTTAGGTGAGAGTCAACAAATCAAATCTCGTGTCGGGGAGTAGATGGGTGAATGACTATTTGAGACAAGATACAAGTGATACTTTGTTTGAAAGATTGTTGAGGTTACAAGGGAGTGCAAACAAAGTTCCACATTGACTAGGGAAAGAGTGATCTATTGTATATAGGTGAGAATAGTTATCTCCATTGGTATGAAACATTTTTTGTGAAACCAAAAGTAAAGTCGTAAGAGTTAATCCTAAGGTAGACAATATCATACTATTGTGGAGATACTTGAGGATATCATTGTCCTTTAACATTCTATCACTGCTATTATTGACGCCTTTATCATTAACTACTATTGAAGTTAGGCCTAATATTGGGTGTGAAGGAAGCATATAATAGTGGGATGAAATTTTAGGAAATTAGGTTCAACAACTTTTTTTTGTTCCATAAAATTTTCAACATTTGAGCAAGGAACATGGTTATTTCAGTACTATTTAAGTTCTTTGTTGGTGCAAATTCAAGGATGGAAAGATTGTTCGATCTCAACAATTTTCTTTTCATTCGTGAGTGTAGGTGACAATAGATTCACAATTTTTTTATTATCAAATAAATATTTGTTTTCAATTAAGGAACATGAACATTATGGTTTATTATCATTATTATTATTTTAAAATTCAACGTATATTTTTTTTAGTACAACAACACGTAGGAGTGGAGATTGGAACACTCACTTTTCCGTCGAAAATATATGCTTAACTAGTTGACCTAATATCAGGTGGGAAATTTGACATATCTATTTAATTAGAAAGAGAATTACACTCCAAATCTTATTTGAATGATTTACCATGAAGGACAAGTCTTGAAAAAAAAAATAATCATATACTTTTGAAACAAGTTTTTAGAACTGTGTCTATAAAAGAGTTTATACTCACTAAGATATTCTCAAATGTCACCTAGCACATGTAGAAGTTCCCGAACAAGTTAGAATTTCAAGTAACTTCAAGATCATCAAAGTATCTCTATTTTTTAAAATTTTGTAAAAATTTCAACTAGTTTTAAATATCGATCGATGAAAATGTATATTGAAGTTGATTGGTATTTCTAGAAAAATTATAAAAATAAAAAAATCATAATAACAAGTAAACATTTCACTATTTTTAAATAATATTAATGTTAATATTATGTTCATATTAGTGATATTTTTTTATATTTTATCAATTTTTATTTAGTACTATAGACATGTCAATATGGAACCATATAGAAAATTTCGTGAAAATTTAACAACTGGCTTGTATTTTAAATCTCCCAAATGGGTTAATGGAGAATATAAAATAAAACTTGTTTTGAAAATCAACTTTCTTGAAGATGGAAGAGAGGGCACTTTTAGTTTTGGAATAGAACCTACTTTTTTGAGTTGAAAATGACCACTTTTTATTCTTCAACCACATGAGTGGCAAGAATCCATGGATTCTTTGCCCCCACAACTATGTTGGACAATTTCATTAAATGGAAATTTCTCCATCTTTGTCACTATTTAAAACAATTTCCTTTTCCTCTAGGGGTTTTCTTTTTAATATACCTACATCAATAATTTCTTTCGTACCATTTTTGAAAAATTTCAATCTCTAAGGCTGTGTTTGGTAGGCAACTCGATTCATTTTTTTA